CACGCTGCCGCACCGGAACCCGTGCTCTGTGTATGCGTGCAACTTTACGTGCTCGATATACTATATATCGTATAAGTGCGCGCGCGTGCATTTACACACTTCCTTTACATGTATATCACTATATACACGATTTATAATAGAAGATACAACGTTTGTATGTACAGCTAACTTCTTTTCTCAAAAGTCTTGTCAGTCAAAAAATGCATATACGTATATGTACAATAATGCATATACATATATACACACATATATGTACGCACGTATATATATATATATATATATATATGCAAAGAAACAGTAGAGAGGGAGAAGAACAGGGGTTAACGTAAAGAACTTGTGTCGTCCGTTTGTGATACCTCGATCGCGGTGGGTGTCGCGAATGACTGTGTTCAAGAAGTGTGCGAGAGTCACTACGCGTTGGGTACCCTACCACATGCCACTACCACTATCATGATTTCCACTACCATCGCACTCGGCTGCCAGCACTACCACTATGGAACCAGTACGCACCACTAAACTCGGCGAATATATATCGGTATCAGTGAATGGCAAGAACGAAACGTAATTTTTTGACGTTTCATACTTTCCTTGCTTTCACGATTATGTATATGTATTAGAAATATTTCCATAAATTATTGACATATTGATTTATATGTTTATTGAAGTAAAAAAATAAGATTAGAAATTTATTTTATAGAAATTTATTTTATACTTTAATATTTTCAATGTTTCTTATTCTTATAATTAATATATATAAAAGTACTATTACAAGTTTTCTTTAAAATCTAAATTTTTTTTATCCTAGTATTTTGTAAATTATACAATTAGAATTATTATATCTTAATTCTCTTAAGATTATAAAAGAAATGATGAATATTAACTAAATATATTTGAAATGCGTTTTATTATCCATTGTTCATTTATTTCTATTACAAACATTTAAATTTTATCAATTTTATATAAATCGTATTCTTTATTTTCATATTTTTCATTTCTTCGAATAATCATCAAATCAAAGTATATCATAATAGCAAGTATATAATAATAGCAAAAATCATAGTATATCATTGATATCACAGTATATCAAAAAAATGTGTATGGTAAATGAAAACAAAGTTCATATAAATGAATGCTCATTTTCATGTGTACAAATTAGAAATTAACATTAAATAATTTTATGTTAATGTTAATCAGTCTTAAGAGAAATATGATTTCAAATATACTGTTTGCATTATTTCTTCTACTAATTAAATATAGTTTTTTATTAATTGAATTAGTTAAGATAATCAAGTAAAAAATTTCCACACTAAAGTTTAATTTATATTCAATAATTTATGACAAAAAAAATCATAAAAAAAAGAATTTTTTTAATATGTAAAGAACATTTTTTTTTATAATTTTTTTTATTTTGCTAAATAAAACAAGCTAGACAACCTTTGATTTATATTCGTTCTTAATACATATTGATGAATATTTTATGAACGTTTCATGTACATTTCCAACAACAGAATACGACGAACATGGGCACCAATATGACACGTCAGACTTTGTAAGAAACGGAATATTACGATGTAATTCTATGCAGCTTTTTTACACCAATGATGTAACGTGATGAAACGATGGAAATGGAAATGTCGCGATCGTTTTACGAAACCATTAAGCGACAAAGAAGAATTCCTGGATATATAGAAGATAAATATCCATGGAAATACATCAATGAACTGAGTATTATACATATACAATGAATTCGATTTCGTTGATTTACATGTGTCGAAATGACGTAGACGTTAAATGTGTCTATATAATAAATGGATGCAAATCTACCCGTATGTCCATCGCATACGTAAAAACACATAGTTATATATAATCCATATCTGCGGATCAATGAAGAAGTGTAATTCACGATTTACACTATGCTGTCATCTCTTTCCAGAACCAGACATTAATGCTCCTTCCGTAACGAAATTTCAATCGAGACAGACGATTCAACGCTGCTCCCCCGAATCTCACTTCGGATCTAAAAATAGAACGGCGAAGGGTGTTCTCGAAAGGAATACGGTTTCTTTTCCTTCTTTTATTCGGCAGTTCGAACACCAAAGATCGACTGGATACAGATTCGAAACCACGGCAAAGAAGAGAGAGAAAAAGAGGAAAAAAAGTGGTAGAGGGAGAAGAAAGATTCACGGGAGGAGATGTATCTCCTCCTCACCGGTCTCTTCTATTCCACTGGCGGGACTGGCAGCGGCAAACTCGTTACGAAATAGTCCCTAAGACGGGGTGACTAATTGCTAAGCGGCTTGTAAAAATTCGCAGGACAGTCTGTCGACATCGTGGCGCGGCCGTCTCATCGTCGCGCCGTTATACTTTTTGCCCATGCACGGTTGACTAGAGAAGAGAATGACCTAGAGGAAGAGAGATCGAGTGACAAGGGAAAGTGATAGGAGTGACAAGGATAGGAGAGGGCTGCGGTGACGATGGGGCACGAACGGAGTGTGGTGGGGGTGGTGCAACGACGGATGCGCGAGGAGAGGGAAAGGGAACAGGCGAGAGAAGCATGTGCGTGTGAGGCCTTAAGGTGAGAAAAGAAAAATGGCGAAGAGAGGCCGAGGCTGCGTCTCGCGTTCGAAGGCGAGAGGGGACGACGCTTTCGCAGATTCCACGTGAGATACCTGCGGCATTCTTCGTTCTGCAGCAGGGCATTAAGCCGGATGCACATTCGTCGTGGACGACGCTCAGTGAATTCATTTCCAAGAAAAATATCTTCCGCCACGAAACGAATTTTACGGCAGATTGTGTTCGCGAACAGACCGCCTCAGAGAACTCTCACTCCGCTCCTCTCCTTCCTTGATGTGTGAACGGAGGACACAGAGATGCGTGTGATGTTTTTATTATTATTATTTTTCTTTTCTTCTCCCGTAGACTGTTTCGGAACTGAAAGTTCCAGCTATAAAGCGTCTAATCCGGCGATAAACCGCGTGGTGATTCTTTTCCGTGACGTTTACACGTCTCTGACACGTTTCGAGTCGCTGATGCGCACCGAATCGAAAATAATCTTGTGCGCATACACGTCTCATATTTGATTGGTAGCCTCAAGCGACAGTTATGATAGGAAAAGTTTTTACGAATTGTCTAGTTTACCTATTATAATTTATGAGAGAAATATAATTGTTCCAAATGAATGATAAAATAGAAAAATAAATATTGTAACGAAAATTTTTTCCGACTTATAATAAATAAAAAATAAAAGGTAAGTAAAATGCATTTAATATAAAAAATATAAAAAATAATTTCGAAAACATATATAACAAAAGTTTTAGAAAAACATTTTTATATACAATGCAAAAAAGATAAGATAATAAGAATTCTTTATTTTGCTAATAATTATGAAACATAATTCACTAAGAATCATATTAAGCAACAAGTATTATTTATATCGATCGTATTATATACATTCTTCAATTAATTTCATAATATTATAAAAAATCATATTTCGATAGTTTGTACTTTTAATATACACATATTATTCGATCTCAATATTATTTCGATCTCAATATGATTTCCAAAATAAAGCTGTAAAAGTACAAACCGATATCATAAAGATTTATATTTAACGAATGTTTATATCTATTCCAGTACGCTGATGTCTGCATCAATCAAAATTATATATGTTATATTTAATCTAATCTATTAAAACTTTTATTGCTATTTTTATCATCCATTATAAAATTTATCCATTTCAATGTTTAAAAACAATAAAAGGATCAAAAGGAAAATTTTTGTCAACATCCACAAAAGAAAATTCAATTGTACAACTTACACATCGAAATTCTGATCAAGAAGTCAAAGATTCAAATTATAGATATAACGAGGAAAAAAAAGGATCACGATGTTGATAACGTATAAAAGATCACGAAATGATTTATTTCAATTTTGTATCGTGGCCGGAATTCTGTCCATGGTGGCGTTCAAGAAATGACCATTGCGCGGGACCACACGTCGAATAAAATAAAAAAAAAGCTTGATTAAGCTTTGAGAAATGATCAAATATTCATTTATAGCTATTTTATAATCGAATTCTAATTTTTGTAGTATTTTTTAAATGCAAAATTTTTAAAAAGAATTATGTAAATTAACTTATTTTTTAATTAAAAAGATAAAATATCCTTCGAAAAACAGAATGAAAATCTGCATGAAAAATAAGAAATATGTTGTAAATAAACTAAGCTATAAAACTAAACATAAATTATTAATATTATTAATATTACTTTTTTTTTATTAAAATTAGGAAAATAATAAGGAAAATAATAAGGAGAAAGAAAACAAGATATAAAAATAAGGAAAAATGAATAAAAAGTGTAAAAGAATAACTTGAATAACTATTTATAAGACAAATTATGACAAACTTAATAGATTTTTCACAAAACTTAAAGCGGATTAAAGAGGAATCGAGATAAAAAAAGAATAAAAAAAAAAAGCATAGAAGGGAGAAAAATATTTCTATTCAACTTTCGATGAACGGATGTAATGCTTTGTAGAGAACCTTCTGCTGTCCTTTCTAACAATGATATTTCTCTTCGCGGCCAGTCTTAGAACTGAGAAATAAAGTCAAGCCATTGCTCGCTTATAACGTGTTGAAGACACACAATGCTTATTGTCGACTCGTCGTGGAATGTGAAGAGCGAGATATTGTCGACACATGCCAAATGTGGACCCCTTCGTTTTTGACTACATACCAACATTTATGCTGAGTATTATTTCGTCCCCTTTTCTTTGCAATTTATTTTTTATCAATTGGTAAAAAGAATATTAATTTATATTTGAGAAAATAAACAATCTTATCGTTTAATTTCAGTATTATTGAAAAATATAAATATTGATAAATATATTATATATAATATTATATTATATATAATTGATTATATTATAATTGATAAATATATTTATCAATTAATTTTTAATATCATTGAAATCATACATATTGTTAATATATCTATACAAAAATTTCCATGATTTAAAAATATGTTATAAAATTTGTAAAATTTAAATAGATAAAAATTAATAATAAAAGAGATAATAAATATATTTTTGAAATTTCTTTTTATAATTTCAAATTAAAGCATATAGTTTTATAATTTCAAAAAGAAACAAATAAAGAATTAATTCAAAAAATTTTTTAAAATGAAATATTAATATAATATTGGATTGATTTAATTTTAAAGTATTTTAACAAAATATCAAAACAAGAAAAAGATTATTTTTAATAAATTTTAATTAAAAAATTGTTATTTTTATATTCTTCTTGATTAATTTACTAAAATTAATACAAATAAATAGTTTGATCTTTGAGAAATTTCAAAAATATATTTTTCTAAAAATAAATTCTAGATATTAAATATTCAAGGAAATATATTAATGAAAAAAATCTCACTAGATCATCCAAGAGTCTTTAGGCTGCATAAAACGAAATTAATCTCACATTAATTCTTTTCCACTTTCACTAAAGGCTCAGTGGGCGAGCCAGATCGGCTAGTTTGTCAACATTTTATTGGATACTGACTGAGAAGTATAAAACACTATTTATATTCGATGGATTTTATGTACTCGTGAGGCAATATGCGTTTTATACAACAAATAAAATGTTCCTGCAAGATTAGTTACGAAAGTTACGAAAGTAACCAATTCCAATGACTGACCGTTGCTTATTTCTTATTTTCAATCTATCTACTGATGCAATTTTATAAATGGTATACTTTGTGCATTTTCAAATAATATTATAAAATTAAAAATTCTATACTTATTATTATACGAAATAATATTTTTATAAATAAAATGTAACGAAATATCAGAATAAGTCGGTACAAGGATATAGTTATACTACTGAATACATAGATTAGTATTACAGAGATTAAAAATATATTATTAAATAATAATATATATTTCTTTTAGAACAAAAAAAACAATATTATAAATAAAATATTAAATATCTGTATTTTATTAATTAAAATTTAAATATAATTTAAATATGCATAGCAATTATGAAATGTAATATAGATTGAATGTTGTAAATTTATATAATTTATTTCTTATATTATCTGGATAAATGAATATTCGGCTTTAACTATTTAATATGAAAAATTTTCTAATCAATAGAATATTATATTTTTTCTTATTATTATTATATTTCTTATGTTTTTATTCTTTGGATTTTATAAAAAACTGTAAGGATATATTATTTACGATCTATGTATACAAAAATTTTAAAAGTAATATTTTCTTCTTTTTTTATATTACTATTGTTTTATATTATAATATTATTGGACAATTTAATATATATATTTTTTTTAATTTTTAGGACTAAAAAAAAAGTAATGATAATAGTAGAATTTAAAAAAAGAAACAATACATAAAAGCAAGAACATTGACAACCACAATCAATCAATTTATCATATTTTGTTAATTTTCGATTACAATAGTGTTGTACGAAATCGTATTGTGTATTATTGTTGGCTTGAATTCAGACAAATGTTTATGGTTATAAAATTATTTTATTAGCGATTTTTTCTCTTGAAAAAAATAATTTTCTAAAATATAGTAAGATATTCACGATTATATCTAAATTATATTACTTAAGAAAAGGTAATTTATGCATTGATATTTATAATTATATTCAATATCTTTTTACATAAATTGAATTAAGATTCAGTTTTTATAATATAATTATTATAGATTTTAAATTAAAGCATGAAGACATGAAGACCGATATAAATATCTTTCTATTTTAGGTTATCGAGATTTTAGGTTATGTTTCATTATTAGCCCTCTGAAATGTAATTTTTAACTTAAATATTTTAAATACCTATCTTGTTCAAAATAAAAACTTTATTACATATTATATATCCGAAAAATCAAACGAAAATATTTTTAAAAATATATGTATGTGCACATACATGCATTTTTTAAATCTGTAAATAAGATCATATCATATAATAAAGAAAAGTAGTCCTCTCTTTATATTTATGCCTACAAATTTTAAAACATAACAACAAGTTTCAACATAATATAAGATTATGCTAGTTAATGCTATATTATCACAAAATATCGTTACAAATAACATATGATGCATTTATGCGCATAAAATCTGTGCATATATTCTACAAAGAAAAAACATAACATACAATGATTAAATTATAATTTTAACTAATAAAAATAAAAAAATTCTTAGAATTCTTAGAATTCAAAATTTGAAGTATATAATCTCTAATGTGAATTTCAAATAATCAATTATTAGTTATTATTGATTATTAATCTATGATATAGTATCCATTTTTTTATAATTCGACTTCATATTTCAAGAATAAATCTGTTTATTTGCATATTAATCACATATAATGCATTTTTATTATTTTATTTAAATATTTCTATATAATTTATATTTTACATTCATTAAAATTGTTTAGCAAAAATATTATTTAAATATTGAATATTTCAATTTTCCATTTTTTATGATAAAAAATATTTAAGCAATAGTGATCTTTGATTAATATATTATTGATTAATAAATTTTCACATTAGAAATGTTATTTAGTTTAGAATAAAATAAATTATAATGATAAACAGAGAAATCCTCTATAATATAAAATTTTAACTATTTATCTGTCTATTGACAATTTTTTCAAATTTCTTTTTATATTGTGAAAAAAATTAAACATTTTTATCTACATTATTCTTTCATAAATTCTATTAAAATAATTCTATTAACGTCAGTAATCATTAATAGAAAGACACTATAATATGTCAATCATTATCAGTAGAAAAACAGTATAATAATACTTTTCAAAGATATTCAAACAATATAAAATCTACGTTGTATCATAATTTCTTCATCATTTTTATTTTATCGTCTTTCATCATTTTCCATTATCTTTCATCCTGATACTTCATCAACATAACTACTAATAGAAATATGAATTTTGTTCAATAATTAATATATCTTTCTAGAAATAAATATGCAATATATGAAGACATGACAGAAAGATATATAATAGACATATAAAATAAGTCAAAAAATCAAATATTAAAAATTAAATTAGGTTGAGTTAGATTAGGTTTTTTCTTTGAAAATAAAACTTTTAGAAGATTTAATTTCTTGAATGAACATCGAAACTGGCCCGTTTCCTCTTTGCCATAGCATCGCAAGATAAAAGGAACATGCCACAAAAGAAGCGAAATTTTTCGGGTATTCGTGTTCGCAGGACGAATGGTTTCGCGCGGGACCATTAATCTCCGAGACAATAGCCGATTCTACGAAAAACTGAGTCTCAAACTTCACAGATCCGATGAATAAAGTTACCATCAATAAGATAAGTGTCGGTAGTTTCACCTGGTCTACCTTCCCTCATCGCTTTCTTTTCTTCATAAACCAAGGATAATCCGGATGTCGAGTGCGGAAGCACGTTCGATCGCATGAAATATAATAAAGCTTCTTGTTTTCACACATCTTTCAGTTGAATACTCTAATATTTGAAACCTTTTTAATAGACGAATCATTCTAGGATGTCAAAAGCGGTGTCGTCAATGTTTTTGTTTTATAGATACACATTCATATCAATTCGATATTCTATTTCACGTTTTTATTTCACGTAAAAAATTATTATTATATTAATAAATATCCTTTTGGGTATAATTATGAATTAATATTATTAATAATAATATTATAAAAATTTACAAATTGTAAATTAGAAGTTATAAATTTAGTAATAAAACAAATGATATTTTTTAAATCGATTTTACAATTATTGTCTGTTTCTTATAAAAAAGAAATCTATAATCTATATTCTCTAACTTGTTAAGTTGCTAATATTAATTATTATAAAATTATATAAGAGTTTTAAAGAGTTACTGTTTTTATATGCAACAAAAGTATCTCCTTATATTATTTAAATTGAATGCCTCTTATTTAGTAATAGATATTATAAATACAGTAATTCTTGAAAATATATGTTTGAATCTTTTATTTTTTTTCTTCTTAAGAAACTCTTCATTTGCCAGATTTTCTTAATGCATCTAAATTGTGAATAAGAATAAAATATAGAGAATATTCTTTTACTTAATTGTATATTATATAATTAATATTTATTAGTTGAAATAATATTATAATATAATTATAATTATAATTAAATATAAAATTTACAAATTTTATATTTTGATAACTCACGCATTAAAACATTTCGTTATATATACATCATCATTTCTCCAATTCCTTCAATTATTTCATTATTCCATAATTCAAATACTTGAGTATGCTTTTGATTTATGTAAGGAAATTTTTTACTATACTTCCACAAAGAAAGAAAGTATGAAAGAAAGAAAAAGAGAGATGCGAAATGGTTACCCTCTGTAATTTAAATGAATCTGAATATATTCAGGCGTGGACAGCGTGAAAAAACACAAGTGTATATGTAATTTTACAACACGCCACGAGGTGTAAATAATGCCTACCATTCGGTATCGGGATTTCGGTAAAGATCTTATGGTCCGAAAAACAGTTTACGACTTTCCGGCGCCGCGATCGAGACACCTGTCTCGGCCAAGGCACAATGCGATACATGCTATCGATTTTTGAAAATATTTCACCCCTCACCCTTTTTTTGATCGCTCACATAATTAGTTAAAAGAAAAGCTTATATAATACCAATGCTAAATATTCCATTCCATTCGTCGTTTATCTCATTACATCGTGGAATCTGAAATTTTTAAAACAGCAATGATTATGTATTTTGGCGCAGATAAGTATTGAAATTAAAAATTTTACGAATTCTGAGATATTTGTTGTTAAAAATTAATATCATAGTGAAAGGTAATTCGTTATAGTTAAATCGAGGACGGTGCCACATCCCTATATTTCAAAGATACCTTATGATTATACTGATCATTTGGTTTCAATCTTTAGGAAGAATTTTCAACGATAAATCTAGCCTACTGGATATTTCGATCATATTATAGAAAAATCTAATAATTAAGATATAATTGATAAAAATTATTGTGATTTAAAATGCAAATAATTTATCGAATAAATTGAGGTTATGTAAAAAATATATATTATAGTATATATAAGAATATACATGATATTCAAATATATAAATAGAAAAATTTGCTCGTTGATTTTATTTACATATAACAATGTCAAGGTTCATTATCTATAAGTAATCAATAAAAATAATAACTGTATTATAATGGAATAAGAAAAATTTAAATGAACAAACTTGATATTATATCGTCCTAGTTTTTATTTTTTCTTTTTTTCCTTTAAATCGAAGATAAATGCCATTTTCCGTTTACATCGCTAAATATTTACATACAAATCACGATTTGCTATGTAAACTAACAATTAAATACATAACATAAAATTATAATTAAATATATAATAAATATCTATAAATACTTACATCATATTAATATGTGCTTTTTATTTTATTAATTTCGCATATAATATTTAATTTTTCAAATATAATAGAAACTTGCACAACAATACAACTTGATCTACTAAAAATATTATAATTATAATAGTCAATTAACATAATTAATATAATATCAATAGAAAAATAATACTGAAATTTATCATTTTTGTCTTTACTATGTAATTTGATTAAACGATTCAAGTATGTATATCAATCATGTATGTATATCAATTATGTATCGTAATAATAATCTTTCATTTGAAAATCGATGATTAATAATATTTGTTTATGTTTCCAAACTGAGAATAAACATTTAGAAGAGCCACGCAATGTCATACGTCATAACAACCATAACCTCGTTCTAGACACGTCCCAAAAATTTTTGCACACACCAGACATAATCATATAGATTTTTCAGGAGGCGTCTCTGTGGAATCTGTGTCACGTCACGTAAACATACTATAATAATAATATACTATAAATACACTGCACTCGGCAAGAGTAGAAAGAGAGATAGAAAATGAAATACTCACTTCGAGACAGAGAAAAAGATAGAAAGAGCAATATATGCAGGCGCCGGCGCCGTCGGACGAGTACATTACACGCGCCAAGGAAGTATTATCCATCCCACGTACTCACATACATATTCGCTTCCTCCCTCTTTAGTTGTTTCCCAACAAGTCATACTATCCCCGTTCCTCTTCCACTCGTTCGCCTTTTTCAATCACATATATTCTCATCTCTTTCACACCTTAACCTCTTTACCGTCATAACGTTTTTTTTCTTCCTCTCTTTCAATCCTGTCTTCGTTCTTGTCTTGCACACGTGTCTCACTACGTCGTCACAATATTTTTTTACTCGTTCATTCAGCCCTCTCTGTTCCTCTTTTCGCTCCAGGAGCGACTTACTCTCACGTTCTTCGCCAAACTGACCAGATCATGGGCGCCGTCTGTTGTAACTGGCTCAGTTGAACGACCAACCGGCTCAATCTCATCTTTCCCCGCCCTTCTTATTTGTTTCGCGACACCCAGGCCACAAGCCGACGCTCGTTAGATGTGAAATCGATCTTAATTTCACGTGGAATCATGAATGACCAGCGCGAAATCGAACCTTGTATCGCGTCGCGACATGTCCACTTGTCATCGATATCTTGACATCAGATTTAGAGATATGGTAAAGCTAGTTTTTAAGAAAAGCTCAACGCGATTGATTTAGAAAGCAGATGTAATATTTATGATAATCATATCTCTTTTTCTTTTTATTGGTTCCTTATTGTTACTTTTTTACGGAAACATCGCATTACACATAAATTATCGAAGAAAGATGAAGTTCATAAAAATTTCGTTTTTAATGAACTAATTCTATATAAATTCTTTTCTTGAAATAAAAGTTTTTTTTATTTCATTTGTTTTTTTGTTTAATAGTTATTAATGTATTATTATTCTAAAAATATTTATTAAATTTATAAATATTTATAAATATTTATTTATTATTCTTTTGTAAGTTGTTTATTTATTTCATTATTTTTATAAATCATAAAAAAATTATAGTAATTAATAGTGAATCTAAGTAAATTTAAATCTTTAATATACGATTAATTGAAATTATTTTTCATATGAATACTTAATTTTTTTTATAATAATATATTAATATAAATGATAATCGAATTTTCTATTTCTATTCCTAGCTATGATATTCGAATTTATTATTTGAAGCTGCAGGATTAATTCTATATAAAAGAAGTAATAATAGAAAAAATATTATATGATCATTTTTTAAATATAGTAATAAAAAATTATGAAAGAAAATGAGAAAATACATATAATTATGAAATAATTATGAAATAAAAGAAAATTTTAATTATGTAAAAAAAGATATATATTTATAATAACTATGTAAAAGATTTTTTGAGTATTTTAACGTCAAGCACAATATCTTTTTTATCATGTATTAAATACATGATATGTAAAGTTTTCTTAATATATGTGCATAATCACTTTAAATACACACCCTATAATTTTCAAGTCTATGTATTCAAAGCAGAAATATTCGCCCTTCTATCTGCAAATATATATATTCGTGTAGATCTATTAATCCACGCCTCTGGTCACGCATGTACATTCACATATTCGTTTATATACGCTTCGATAAAATTATCATATATGCACTTTCCCCCACTGATCATTTTGAACTATTCATTTTAATAGTGATATTTTTAGAATCTAATTGATATATTTTTCAAAAGTAAATAATCAGATTTATATTTTGTAAGAAAATTTAACAAAAAATAATTAAATAATTATTATATATTATTATATATTAATTTCTATAAAATAAATATGTAGAATAAATTATGAAGGAAATCAATATTGGCACCACTGATAATATAACTAAAATTTTATTAATATTAAAAATAAAATAATACAATAAATTAACAAAATTTCTCTTGTATTATTTATCATTATAAATTTATTATAAATTTTTTTTGCATTATTTTTGATCAAAAATCAACTTATGAAATTTAAAAAAATTTTTATATTATTTTATATTATTAATTATTATTAATTATTATATATTATATATATATATTTAATATATTATTTATATTAAATAATCGATTTAAACTTTGTTTTATTGTATTTTTTATTAATTTATATATAATAAACACAAACTTTTATATAAGAAAACTGCAGTGAAACTTCGCCAAATCGTTTTACAGATGACACTACATCCAATATATATACGCAATGAATTTTCGATATCGATTTGAAAATTAATTTTTTATAAAAAAATGATATTTTATATATTCAATCTTTTTTTTTTGATTCATATCAATATCTATCATATATTTCACTTTATATCTTTCCATATTGTTCTATATAAACAAAAATTCAAATGAAGTATGAAAATTCAAATGTCCATAAAATAAAATTTTTGAATACAATTTCTGATGCAATTGCATTATCAAATTTTCATGTGCAAATAAGTGCAACACGTTTATATGATCTATTTTAAAACGAATTGCTCAATAACTAAACAAACAAATTATAAGAGATTTGTGAAAATCGATGTTATTGATGATAATTGTACGCACGTTAAAATATTTCCACACGGTCGTCACTATGTCGATTCTTCTTCGCCAGTTTTATGTCCGGATTGGTTTCAGCCCTCATCCGTACACTGTTTATGTAAATTTCTTGCGTATGTATCGAATGATTTATACCTAAGTGACCGGACGCGTATCGAAAGGTTATTCACGTTGTGCGAACATTAAAACCACCGACGTGACGAAAAGTCAATTCAGTGTTTTCGCGGAGAAAGTTATCTCCTGAAGGATCCGACAGAGGCTCTGCGTGCACGTAAGAAATCGATGGCTCATAATTTTACGAAGCATATGAAAGGAATCTTGGATGATCGCCGAGTTTGTTGTAAAGTATACAGCTAAAATTGACTGCCGATATTTCAGAGACCATCTAAAAGAATTTCATAATTTTTTGTTAATTTCTTCTAATTTTAAAAATTGTAGATTTATGAAATATCCAATTCTTTAGATTATTCGATCATAATACGCCCATTATATAATAAAAATTATTTGATATAATAAAAATGATTGAGTAAATATATATAATAAAAATTTTATAAAAATTAAATACATATATATATTTATTTTTTAAGATAAAATTAAAAATTTGAGATTAATTTTTAAAAATTAAAAATATTATGTTAATTTTTATTTTGATAAATAAAAATAATAAAATAAAAATATAATAAATAAAAAAAGATAAATTATTAAATTATGAATAATATATGATAAGAATGATTATTATTTAGAATTTTGAAAAATTTTTTTTATAATCAAATTTAGAAAAAGATTTTAATTATCTTAATTATCAATGATCTATATATGTAATGATTTACTAATACACTTTTGATCGCGATCATGGTATAGAAATAAAATTTATTTCGTCCAAGTGCGGTATATCCAAATGGATAGCCTATATCAGTATTTTGAGCGAATGACGTGAATTACATGGAGTTGTAAAATAAATTAAATGCATGGAACGCGTAGAGAGCATGATCGGTAAATCATGTAGTCTAAGTTCGATCATGACGCTTGCAAAATTGATATCAAACTCGTAAACCTATTTCCGCTTTTTACAGTCATGAAAATTCTTCAATCATAAATTATGCGATTATAAATAATTTACTGTTTCAGTGGCGCCAATTAATGATCAAATAAAAGACGATGGAAAAGCCCATTTTCATCAAATGAACAACGCTGGAAATATCAAAGGCAACTCTTGCATGCAGGTCGAGAAACATTTATTTCTCAACGATCATTGCTTCCATTAATCGAATTTACATGAATGGCAATCAATTAATAGCTGAATTATGCAGCATTCCTGCACGTGGTTAGAATTTATCTTATATTACATATTGAGTTTATATTCTTCACATTTGTTTAGTTTTATATTTCCTATTAGCACATCACCCACATACATAACTATTGTTGATATACGAGTGCGATATGATTCAATATTTTAAGGTTTTAATATATGTCGACGAGATGAGAATGTTGGCGCCATTCTTGTGACACTATGCATATATGATATATATATATATAT